ACTTTATTCTCAATTCTTAAGTGATGCGAGACTTTTAAGTATATTAAAACAAATTCTTAGGCGAGAGACTAAAGGTCAAAAGTGGCTTGAACGACTCTCCTTTTATACCAATGTTCTAATAGTAAGTCTGTTGATATTATTTTGATCATTCAAGATATTATCTGCTTTAATACTCGTTGAATTATCATAATTTTATCCTTAAAGAGATGTTTTGGTGGGTTAAGGAAATATAATATTTATAAACTATCTTGACACCGTGTATAAAAAAAAGACATCATTCTTAAAAATACCCTCTTTTCTTAATCCTTTAAAATGTCTTTTCAAAAACAAAATTTTTAACGAGCCAACGAATGAACAAGAATGTCAAAATTATTAATACTTCAAATATGTAATTCTAACCATATCAACAAAATTACAATCAAATATGATAATTCTAACCATATCAACAAAATTACAATAAAACATCATGTCAAAACATGTGTGAATAGGATTTTCAACATTAAATTTTCATTTTTTGCTATATTAAGGGAATCCCATTCCTCCAGATCGTGGGGTTGAAGAAAACAAGGAAGAGATTCTTCTGTTATAGTTTGGGCTGTCTAAGCTTTAGGAATTAGGAGTACTTTTTTTTACCTCGTTGAAAACACTGCTTTAATATTTACTTACAATCAAAAGTAGTTCTGCAGTGACAATTATTTAAAGCTGCAACTCTTATTCAATTTTATCTTCTGTACTAGCTTTTAGGTTGGGATACTTATCATTCCTAACTAAAAACTCAGATCCTAACAATCACCGACTAAATATAATTTTACGACCTAAGTTTGACCTATTAGGGGTCAACAACTACGTATTTGATGTATATGGTCTGTTATATATACCTCTTAGATAACCAACCTAAATTTTCAGTGTCGACCTAGGGGTCATTATAAAATTTCTGGGTATTTTATTATGAGAAAGAAGTTGCATTTGTATAATAAATGTGTATAATTATTTGTTGAGATAAAGAAGGTGAAAGAAATTTGTGATATATATATATAGAGAGAAATAGAGAGAGGGTTATAATAAGTAACTTTTATTAAGTATTACACTGCATAATAATTTTATATTAAATGTGAATTTTGTAAATTTAATCGTTAGATATTGAAAATTCTTTATACAAAATTTTATGTTAATTTAAGATAATTTTATTTTATTATTAAAAAATAAGATTAAAATAATATATACATTTTAAAATATACTAAAATATAAATACTTTGATTACCTTTAAGTTGAAGTTCAATTTTAACAAAATTTGATATAAATATAGAAAGTGATATGAACTTTCAATTTAACAATTATATTTACAAAATTCACATTCAATATAAAATTATTTAACAGTGTAATTAATACTTAATAAAAGTTACACCCATATTATTATAACTCTTCTCTCTATCTCTATATTTCTATCTATATCTATATCTATATCTATATCTATATATATATATACATACCTTTTGATTGCAGCTATCAATGTTATTCCGGCATTCTAGCTTAAATTTGTGAGTGTTTGACGACATTGTAAAGTCTAGACAGCATCGACATACATACACACGCGTCACAACAACCACATAAAAATAAACTGTCACTAGAAAGAGCTATTGCAACCCCACAACCACAAGGCCACGACTAAAGTCAGGTGTATATATTAATGAAGCGGAAAAGGGGCAAAAAGTACTAGTTTTTACTTTTTCCTTAAGATTTTTTTGGCATGATTTGTTTTATGAGAGGGGATATAAAATTAATAAAGCAGAATGCCATTACTTAATATATAACAGAAAAGAAAATCACATGTATCACGCCTTTAAATTATTGCCCTAAAAAAAGGACAGTATATCAATATTAGATTTGCAAGTTAATTTTGGAATATACGTTAGGCCAAATACTTACACGTAAAAGGCGACATTGATAATCAAATAGTGATATCAGTAGCAATTAATTAAAGAGAATTTCTACGGTACTCTATGTAAAAGAAGGGTACTGGTACTGTCGATGACGTGTCAATGATGTGTGATCCAAATCATTTATAATTTTATAATTATTTACAATTCAATATCCACGTCAATTATAATGAAATCCACGTTTTTTAATATTTTTTCAGAGTGTTTGCTTCGTGTTTTTTCCTCTCTTTTTTTCGAAATGTTTGCTTCGTGTTTCTTCCTCTCAGCGGTAATGGTCCCCAATAGGGTTATCACAGGGCTTGGGAGGGGCACCAGTGCGGAGCAAGATGTGGGGTTTACCTCTCACGAAATTAGGGTATTCGGGGTTTTGGAGGAGCCAAGCCTTGCGTTCTTCGTCCCAATTGCGGATCTTGGGGCCCAGGCTATAGGTCACGTTAGGGTTCAAGGGGGCTTGCTCGTCGAAGTCGTTGGGGTCGGCGTCGGAGCGGATCTCGACCAGGATGCGGTTGGTCTCCTCCACGAGATTCTGGTTGACGGCGTCGGCGTCGGAGGAGCCGAGGTTGACGCCGATGGTGCCGCGGAGGACGAGGATGTCGTCAGAGACAAAGGTAACCTTGGAGGAGTCATGGTCGACGGTGGAGAGGAGGGAATAGTGGAGGGCGGAGGAGGAGGGGAGGGAGGAGTGGTAAATGGCTGTGGCGAGGGAGTTCAAGAAGTAGGGAGAGGGGTTGAGGCGGAGGGGAGGGGAGGGGAGTGGGAGACGGAGGGGCAAGGGAGAGGTGGGAGACGGAGGGGAGAGGGAGAGGTGGGAGACGGAGGGAGGGGAGAGGAGATCGTATAATTATAAAAATATTAATAAAAACTTAAAAATAAATAATATAAAAATTTAAATATAAAATAATTTTTATTTAAAAGGTTGACATGGCATTTGACATGGTATTTAGATGATGTGTACATATACACATTAGCTACAGTACCAAAACCCCTCATTTATCAGGGGTACAGTAGCAACTCCCTTAATTAAATTCCGGCAACCGGGTTGATAATTATCAAAAAGTTGAATATTGAGAGCAGTAGCTCAAAACAAAAGTTCAGAGAAAAATTGTGCTTTGAGTCAACTCAAAAGATATCTTTGAAATATTATGAAGAGTTCGAGAGTCATTTAAATATTTTGAGCGAATGGACATCATAAGTTTCAATTAAAAAATACTTATTTAAAAGTTTATAAAAATAGTATTTAGAGAAGAAAAAAAAAACACTCCACATATATATTTTAGAGAGATTTAAGATAATAAAGAGAGTCATTGTTAGGAATTAACGTAACAATGTAATTTTTTTTGAGCTTGTTTAATAAATATTTTTATTTAATTAATTATTTTTTCTTGTTCTTAATGTTTGTTTTAACTTGATCACCCAATGTACGATCTCATAAATTTTAATTGAGGTTGGAAAATTCTTTCAAAATTACGATGCAGAGAATAATGTTCATCTCTAAGAATTTGATAAGTCTTATCGCTCAATATTTTAAACTTCCGATCTTAATGTGAGCTACTTACCAAACTTCACCAACAAATAGAGATTTTCTTCAAGTAACCTAAAATTTTTCACTTAAGAAATCAGGATTAAAATATTGTCATTGATTGATAAATTAACTTGATAATTATTGAAAATGAATAATAATTAGAATGGATATATGTGAGAAGGCTAGTCAAATCAATCTCTAATATCTTTTATTATGAATTTTTAATTATCTTTTTAATCTTTTTATTATTCTAAATTTCTAAAAATATGTTCTCAATCATTATTGTATTCTTCAAATAAATTTATCTTTTTTCTTTTTTTAATTAGTATTATATTAGATTAATTAATTGTTACATAAGTCTATGTAATTTTTATACTTAGACTTCTATCTATTTTACTACTTATGACAATTAATATACTTGTCAATTACATATCAATAATCTATATAAAAAAGTATATATTATATCTTATATATATATATATATATATATATATATATACTTATGTTCTACATCAAATTTTAACGATCCAACTATTGAATTTAAAATTCTTAATGCATAGATCAAATTTACAATTTTTTTTAAAAAAATTGAGAATCATTTAATACTTCGTTTCATTAACTCATATCATTGAATAAAATAATTTTATAATTATCTGTCAATTTGAATTAATGAAACGAAGTATCAAATAATTTTTTAAATTTTAAAAAATTTACATACTTGAACTTTAAATCCAACAGTTGGATTGTTGAAATTTGATGTGGAACATGAATTATTGAATGAAATAAATTTATGTAAACTTTAACATACCCCTTCTCATTCATATATATATATATAT